TTAAATAATCCATAAATTATAAATGATGGGAATAAAAACAATTCTGCTTTTTTTTTACAGAGCTCATGTGTCTTCTTTGTACTTCTATTTATTTGCAAGCCACTTTTTGTTTCTGTTTCTGAGCTTCAGGGTGCTAGGGGTCAGACAAGGGCAGGCCTTGTACACACCAGGAAAGTACTATGCCGCTGGCCACACCTCAAGTGCACAAGTGGCTTTTAAAAGCTCCCATTCTGTGATTGTTATCATTATGGCTCTGTGGGTGACAGCTGGCTTTGAGTTAAGTTCTCCAGGGCTTGCCCTGAGGCTGAGTGAGTATAAACCAGGTAAATTAGTCACCCAGTTAGCCTGCATGTTTGAGACAACAGGCCTTCACTACAAGAATAAGTAGAGGACCCCTCACCCAGTGGAATAGTTCCCTGACTGAGCATCTTTCTTGACAGGGACTTTTCTGCACATTGCGGTGCTTATGGAGTTAAGTGATTTTATCGATTTAGGGGGCAGTTTTCCTCCCCTGCTTCTTCCCATGGAAGCTAAAGAGGCCACTCTATTTGCTAATGTTCCCAGCAGTTGGGTGGGGGCACTGTCACATTCTTCAAGTCCTTCTTGGGGTGAAGTAGCAAGCTGCTGATCCCTGCTGAGGAAGCAGGGGTTTACCACCCGCACTGTGGGTTTTCAGGTGACAGCAGTCCTTGGCCCCCCTGCCCACGTAGAATGGTTGAGTGAGTTCTGCTAATGGCTCTCCTGCTGCTCATGTCAACAGGAGACTCTGATGAATTCTGGACATTTACATCCCATATTCTTGCGGCTTGTTGGCTGGGTCTGCTCCCCAGACCTTAGGTAGACTGAGGTCAAATATGTTCCCACCCTGGTGGACATCCCTTGTTAGGATCCCTGGGTCAGCCGGCTGCCTGTACTCTGCACAAGTTGTTAGTCCTGCTCGCTCTAACATCTGGCACAAGGTTGATATTTCAGATAGGAGGATGCTTCTTACATTTATAGCAGGATTTTCTCCTCTTCTTTTGTTCTCCTCTTCCTCTTCCTCCTCCTCCTCCTCCCTCTTCCTCCTCCTAATTTATTTATTTATTTATTTATTTATTTATTTGGTACAGGGTCTCACTATGCAGCTCAGACTAGTACAGGCATGCACCACAGTGCCTGGTTTCTGTGGCCAGCACTGTGCACTGTGCACCTGGCGTCCCAGGTCCTGCATGGCCTGTGGTACTGGGGATCAAACCTAGGTCCTTCTGCTTGCCAGGCATGTGCTTAGACTGCCAAGCTATCTCCCTAGCCCAGGATTTTTTTTTTCTTAATAAGTTTAGAAATAGAAAAGAATATTCTGTTACTTATGAGACCTGGTTTAAGTTTTTTTTTTTTTTTTTTAATTTCAATTTCCTTTAGCTGTGGAAGCCATTTGTGCAAAGAAATCTTACTTGGAACTGTCTACACTGGGAAAGCATTCAAAAGAAGAGCATCTTTGGTGGTGTTCTTTGAGGGGAAGGGGTTTTGAGGGGTCGCTAGGAGCCCTGCTGGACTCAACTTGCTTTGTGGAAATCAGTGAGCGGATTGCTGGAGTCTCTTGAAGCTATCGCGCAGCTGTGTGTTTCTTAGACTTCCGCATCCTAACCGGAAGGCAAGTGCCTTGCAATTCACTAGTGCGGAGTGTTTTGGCAGTGTGTTTCCTTTTGTTTTCAAGTGCTGGGGATTGAATCCAGGACTTTGTACACACGAGGCAAGACTCTACCGCTGAGCTACACTCCCAGTCCAACACATTTTTGAGTGATAATCACATAACTCCAAACTATAGATATTAAAATCAACCTAATTAAAGTTGATTTTTTTTCTCTCTCTTTTTGGCTGAACCGGGGATTGAACTCAGGCCCCTGCACTTGCCAGGCAAGCGCTTATTCCAGTGAGGAAATCAACCTAATTAAGAAGCTTCTGTATTTTGAAAACTTTTCCTGTGACAAACATGTGTAGTTATTTTGAAGTGAGTGAGGAAACGTGGATTTTTAATTCATTAACCTTCTTTTGGTAATTAGAGCTAATTTCTTTTTAAGAGATTGAAGTCTTTCTTGTTTACATTTTGATTAGAAAAAGAAATGAAGATCACATGGGAGCCTATCATGGTTTCCTTCTCTCCTATTTTTTGAGTGCCAAGGGCTAGAAACACAAAAATAGAAGTGACACAACACGTGCCATATTTGTAGTTCTCCCAGCAGAATGGGGTGAGTGGAGGATCGTGCAGCACTCTGCCAATGTGGGGGTGGCTATGCTGAAAATACCCCCTGACTTGCAGTGATCCTAATATGCAAAGCAAAGACTGCGTGGTGGGGAACCGGCCCTGGGATGCAGGGCTGCAAAGCACAGCCGCTGCTGCCTCGACACATGATGCGTCAGGCTCCTGCTCTATTTGTGGTAAACACATAGAGCGCTACCTAGCAGGTGCAACAGCCAGGGCTACTGTAGTTTCTCAAAAAGATTCCATGGATATATTCTCTAATATCACACTGATGTCATCATTCTCATTCTCTTTGTCATTTTCTTTTTGTGGTACTTAGGATGGAACCCTAGGCCTTGTACATGTTAGGCAAATACTACCACTGAGCTACGTGTCTTAAGCCTTATGTTTATATTTTTAATAATCAAGCATAAAGATACATCAATAAGACTAAAGTATTTTTGTGTTCATTTGCACCAAATATATTTCAACCCAAAGTTAATGTACATTTAATTAAAACTTTTTAAAAAAAATTTTTGATGTTGCCCAGACTGACCCTCAATTATTGGGTGCCTGCCTCTGTTTCCCGAGTAACTGAGGCTACATGCACACATATGCCACTGTCCACAGTTTAAAAAATTAATTTAAAATATTTCAACACCAAAAAAAAAAAAAAAGCCAAATAGCTCAGCAGATTAAAGAGACTGGTTAGGCAGACACAGTGACCAGGGTTGGATCCGTAGTCTGCCCTGTTGGGCCCGCCCCCAGGGCACGCTGAGAAGGCAATTGAGACTGGGTGTGTGGTGCACGCCTATAATCCCAGCTTTTGGGAGGCTGAACACAGGCGGATCACTCCGAGCCCAATCTACGTAGTGAGACCCTGTAGATCCTGTAGATCCTGTCCTAAAAATACAAAATAAAATAAAATATTTCAGATACCTACAATTCAATTTTTGTAAAATATGGTTGAAGCTTTTTCTTATTTAAAAAATTACATGCACTGTGACTTAAGCCAGGGCTACGGTAACTGGAACTAAATGATTACTAGCACAAGGGCAGTTGAGTGGCTCTCAGTGACACAGGCAAGAGGACTCATGATGACTCTGGGTGCTGGCCACCCACAAAGCTGTTTGCTTCCCTGTCTGTTTCTATGTTTTTTTCCTCCTTGGTGTGTCTGGAGCCCTTTTGCAGCCCCTGATTGTCTGTTTCTCTCTTACCACATGTGGCCAAAGCAGCATTGTTCTGTCTCCACAGCTCTGCACTATAAAGGTTTTCTATTTCACTGCCTCCCCCCATGAAGTCATTCTTAGGTGTGAGAGAGACACTTCCACAGCTTTTCTTTTCTAATGAAGTAGTTTATTAGTCAAATGAATCTCTAAAGAGCTGTGACTGAAGAGTATTTCTTTGGAGGACTTGGTCTTGCTAAGCTATGCAGTTCCCCAGTTTTTGGTTTTGGAAGTCAAAGACCCTGGCTCTTTAATCTGTCCTTGCCCCAGGAGCCTGCTGACCACACTCAATAGGTTGAATGCACTGGACGATGACAAGTCAAGGGCATCAAGCCAAGAACCTAAGACCTTTGACAAGCCGACCTGAGCCCTGGCTAGGCACCAGCCCTGCTCTGTCTAGCCCTCATGAGGGCTTCCTGAAGGTGGTTCCACTATCTCAGAATCTCATGAAAGGAAACAGTAGTGAAGAGGGTTTTTACCAATCTGACAGGATTACCAATGCAAAAGACTAAAAATAGTGTTTAAGATTGGTTACACTATGTAGCTGGCGAGGTGCAGACTTGGGACTAAAGGGAAAAAATAGTAGAGTGCTTGCCATGCAGTGAGGAATGGAATTGGTTGTGGAGTCCTCTTTTGGGCTAGTCATGCTCTGGAGTGTACTTCATGGCGATTTCTAGAACCAACTAAAGTAACACCAAGTCCCTCTGTGGGGACCCAGTTGATGGAGGGGACCGATGCTTTGCCCTTCTTGTTTCTAGGCCTACAGTAGCAGGTGCCATCCAAGCCACAAGCTGTGTTTCTCTCAAGCCAGTGCTCCTGAGCCTCCAGTCACACTGGGAAGCACCTGCAGCTCTTTTGAGCTCTGGAGGAATCTCTGAGGAGGACACCTGCTGGATGTGGGACCGGGTGACTTCTGTGTGATGAGTGGCCAGCGGTGACACGACACGCTGAGCAGTGAGCAAGCTGGCCCTGTGGGAGGCATTGGGACTGCTGGCTCACGAGGATGAGGGTGGGCTCTGTGGGGGAGGAGCACGGGGAAATAGTTTTGATCTTACAGCCTTTCCCTTATGGAGCAATAGGATTATCAAAGTACTAAAATAACATGGCATTTGATAGAGATAATTTCTTTAAAAATTAGCATGGTTTAGAGAATTAAAAAGGTGGAATTTAATATTTAGTTCAAAAAGAAGAAATCTCTTACACCAGGAAGTCATATATGTGAAAGATTCCTTTTAAAACTGAAATTAAGGGAACTGGGAAATGGATGAGGACATTGTGGCCAGTTTTAGAAGTCATTTTGTTTAAATTTCATCATAGCTTTTAGTTTGCCCCAAAAATGAGTATTTTAACTCATTTTGAAATGATCAAAAAAAAAAAAAAGAAATGATCAATTACATTAGAAACATACAAGAATTATTTTCATTCCATTGCTTTATTATTCAACATTTACAAAATATGTTTCACATCCATTTGATAAAATAATTTAATAAATATAATATAAATAGATATAAATTAGCTCATATAACTTTATGAATAAAAATATTTCAATAAATATTTTCAAATAAATTATGCTTGAGTGTTTCTACAAACACTGGTATAGAAATAGCTTATCAGTTCTTGTTCTTCTAGTAAAGAGAAAGAAAGAAATTCAGGAAGGACATTTTTTCTCAGTGGCAATTTGTTCATAAGAACTTAAAAAATTCTTAAAAATAATAAATATTAAATGTAAATGTGAGAGTCACTTGTGTGGCCACAGCCCCATCAGATGGGGTACACTGATACAATAGAAGCAAGAGTCTTCTCTCAGGAGCTTCAGTATGACCGGGGCTCTCTCTCTCCCTCCCCAGTTCCTAACCCCCAGCTTATTAACATTTCCTTGGGTCAAATTTTATAAAAGGGACACTGAGGTTGGGAGGGACCTCAGCCTTTTAGGAAGAACTCAGGTAGCTCATCATCCTGTCGATGGTCACCGCACGAATTTTGAAAGCATGAAGGAGTATGCAGAGCTTGACTTTAGTTTTATAAAAATCTGGTTCTTCAAGGGAAGTTTCTTGTGGCACAGTCTCACTGTTGGCATTCAGGGCCTAGAAGAGCAAATAGGGCATGGAATATTCCAAAATGAAAACACTCACCTGTAAAATGAGTGAAGCCAATATGTGCTTCGGAGCCCGCAACCCAGGCCCTCCTCACCCTCCCAAACACACCCCAACTCTTATTCCAGCCAGGTGGGCCAGTAGAATCTGGGACAGAGAACACTTGTCTCCAAGCATGTGCATCATCTGTGAGCTCTGAAGAGACCCTTAAAGGGGCTTAGAAAAGTGTCAGCAGGAGTTGTGTTTTAGAAGGGCCCAATTCTGTCAAGGTGACATCTGCTATAATATCCAATTAATGTTTTATATATTAAAAAAGTCTCCGTCCTGCTGGAGATATAGCTCAGGGGCATGGTGTCTGCCTGGCAAGTGTGAGGTCCTGAATTCAATTCCCAGTAGCACGAAAAAAGTCCCACTACTTTTTAGAGCAGAGGTTATGAGTTGATCTGCTGTTAATCAGCGCCATCTATTAGTGACAGCCCCATTTACTGTAGAAACGTTGGTGTAAGAGAAATAACCTTGCAACAGACTTTCCCGAGTTTAGCCTTTTAATTTAAGAACATTATGAGATCTTTGGTTTGAATGATGATCAATAGTCTCACTTGCTTATCCCAAAAATCCTAGAAGAAAGGTAGGGGCTACAAAACCATGCCGTTTTCGAGAGGAGCACCCTGAGGCACAGTGGGGTGAACTGACAGGGGTCTAGTTGCCTGTTGACTGGGGAAATTGATTCCACTGCCCAAGTTACCCGAGTTATGGTCCTAAAAATGAAACATCAACTTGTCAACTACAAGTCTAGGCTTGGGAAGTTTCTTTGAAACGTGCACGAAGTTCACTGCCTTTCAAACAGGTAATATGGTACGGGCGTGCGCGTGCACACACATCTGCACAGAGAAGTAAAACAATGAACTAAAAAATGAATTGCTTTTCAGACAATGACTTCTGCCCCCATGTTTTCACCCTATGCCTCAGGCAGTAAGAAATTCACGCCATTGCTTCTGCCTGTTTGTATGTGCTGTACTAGCACATTACGCTATAGGGCCCAGAAAATTGCACAGCAAATTCCTGCCTCCCTCATTCTTATCTTTTGTTCACACTTTGGTTCAAATTGAGTCACAGTGAGGCCCTAGCCAGGCCTTTTTTCCTCTAGCCATATTTGCTGCTCCCTAAAGGTCAGTGAGAAGGTAAGTGCAGTAGGGTTCTTTAGTAGGAAAGGGACCCTAGGGGCTGGGGAGATGGCTCAGTGGAATAAGCGCTTCCCTGGAAAGAGACCCTGCCCTTAACAAGTGACTTAATCCTCTTCTGTTTTAGTTTTGTTCTCTGCAGAGACCTCTCATGGTTGTCGGGGGGAAATGACAGAAGAAAACGCCCGCAAGCATCTGCAAAGGGCCTCGTGCTCACCTTGTGGTCAATAGGGGGAAGGGTGGCTTCTTACTGTCCTGCCCACGTGTGTGCCTCCTGCAGAGCGCACCTTTTCTTTTGGGTCTTTCAAAAGGGGATGTTCAGGCCTCTCTTAATCCAGGAAGGAGTAATTTTATTCTCCTTCATCAAGGACCCTGGATGGCTACCTTCAGCACAAGAAAGTGCGCTCACTGATACAGTGAGGCCTTACCTGAATCAGCTCATCGATAGCTGAGAACATGGTTTGATCTAGAAAGATCTGGCTCTGAGGATCCATCAAAAGTTTTGCATTCAATGCCTTGAACTCCAGTTGGTACAGTTTCAAGTCCTCATAGATGCTATTAAGGCACAGGGCCTGAATTAAAAGACAAAATAGAAAAGAAAACATTGATATAGACTAAAAACATCACCCTCCATTGCATTTGAGCAAAATGTGGGTGTTTCTTACCATCATAAAAGAGGTCTTTCCAGAAGTTAGGCAACTCCCATTCTAGAGAAAGAATAATTAGACATCAATAACTTGAATTCATCACATGGGAGGAAACTTTTGTTTTTTTACTTACAGTTTTGAAAGAAGTATTCCCAGAAGCCAGGCAGCTCTCATTCTACAGAAAAAAAGCACATATCAAAGTTGTTAATTCCTTAACAATTAAAAACTATAATACAAATTGATATGTACACACAAAAAATTAAAAAGTATTGTTCTTATGTCTATTGAAAAACAAAATTTCATAACAAAATAATTAGAGAATAGCAATAGTTAATACATTGTGCATCATAATCTTAAAAGAATGGCCAAAATGTGTCTTGGCATACAAGTTATAGACAAAAAAGACTCTTACAAAGAAGAAACTAATGGATAAAGGTGCAAAACTTTCTCTTAAAAAAAAAAACAACAAACAACAACAACAACAACAAAAACCCAAAAAACTTTCTCTTCAGTGAGCGAAGAGAAACTAGAAATATAAGTGAAATAAATTAGCATATATATTCTTAATATAAATCTTTCTGGTATTTCACCTCAAACAAAAATAGGACAAAACATATAATGTATAATTCATCATTTTAAGTATTATGAAGCACATAATTTAGAAGTTTTAAGTATATTTATATTCTTGTGCCAAAAATCTTTTTTATAATTCTTTTTCAAAACATAACTCTTTTGTTTATTTTTGTGATAGAGCCTTGCTATACAGTCCAGGCTTGCCTGAAATTTACTGTGGAGCCCAGAGTGGGCTGAACTTGTAATAACTGTTACTCTTGCCTCAGCTGCATGAATGCTGGGATCACAAGTGTGTGCTGTCACACCAGGCTTTCAAAATTTAACTCCTGATGGGCACAAGAAACATGCAGATCTCTGACAGCTGAGGCCTGGTGTGCAGCTCCTAGTTTTATGGTATGTTTTGGGAGGAAAGCCTTCCATACCTTGACTAGTTCCAGGGGGACACAGGCCTTCAACGTGCTGGTTTTGTCTATTGTGATATCTTCATGATCAATCTCTTCAGGGGTGCAGGAGTAAAATTTAAGGGTCTCTCTGGCCTATTCAAAACACATGGCAAGAAGCTCAGTTGTTACTACTTATAAAATGCCTGATTGGAGCTGGATGCCCTTGACCTCAGTTTTCTTGGCCTGTGGGAAATTTGGGATCTTCACAAGGTAAAATAAGTCACTTCCGTTCTCTTGCCCCTCCTCTGTACCTTAGTGTAGGGCCTGTGTCTCTGTTTAACATCGTTCCCCCTTATTCATGCACTCTAAATCATCCTAATAGGTGTGCTAATCAGCATCTACAGCACACTGTGATGCTCACTTCTGGTGAGAAGCATTTTTCTTTTGCTGAAGTGCCCCTGTTTTCTGAATATGTTTCTGAAGGATAGCTTCAACAGGGGAATGGTTAAGGTCATAGTTGGGTGGGTGTAACAAACAAGCAAACCCTACAGACTATCTGAGATTTAATTTGCAGTATTAACACATGCAATCCACATACAGAGATGTCATCTTCCCAGCATGCTGGCAAGCCCTGCTGAACAGAATAATGCACAGCATTTTAAACTATCAGTGACTTCCTGGTTGAAGCTTGCAATTATTTTTTCCAGTCAACAAGGCTGATATGTGTCCGGCAGCATGGTACTGAAGACACAGCAAAGAGAAGGCTGCAGGATGCTCTACTGGATTCCAAGTTTAGCTGTGAGAACAGGCAAGTGCCCAAACACTTATCAGCAGTGAAGAGGCAAGGACACAAGGACTCTAGCCGATACCAGAGAGGAAAGCAGAGGGTTCACTGGAAATCAGCCATTTGCAGGAAGAGGATTAAAGAATTACAGGTAGAGGAAGTGAGTTTCAGGTTGAGGGAATCGTGTGAGTCATGAGCCAAAGACTGAAAGAGCTGAACACATCTGGGCCAAAGTAGGACACTCTATCTCTGTGGTAGGTAGTCTAATCCCCTCACCACTCTAAACACCCACTTCCCCATCCCTGGAACCTCAGACGAGGTTATGTAATACAACAGAGCAGGAATTACAGTGTAGGTGACCTTCACATTGCTGATTGGCCAACTCTATGACACAGAGAGTATCCTGTAGATCCAAGTAGGCCCAGTGTAACCAGTGGGGCCTTTATAGATGGGAGCAGGAGACAAAGGAGTTAGTCAGAGTGATACAGCAAGAAGAAGCAAAGAATACTCCTCCCCAGTTTATATTTTCTTTTGTGGTGCTGGGGATGGGACCTAGAGCCTCACACATTCCAGGCAAGTGCTATCACAGTGAACTTATCACAGTGCTGGATTTGAAGGCACAAAGAAGCCCGATTCCAGAATGTAGAAACTTCTAGAATCCTGAAAGGGCTTGGTGATACATTCTTGAATTCACCCAAAGGAACGTAAGACCTGCAGGTGCACTGATTTTAGCTCAATGGGTCCTATCCTGGACTTCTGACCTGAGCTGTAAGATAATATATTTTTTTAAAAAGCCACTAAATTTGTAGTAATATGTGACAGCAGCAACAAAAAATGCTTTTTTGGGGAGAGAGAGAGAGGGAGAGAGAGAGAGAGAGAGAGAGAGAGAGAGAGAGAGAGAGAGAGAACATGAGGAACCTGTGTGCTTCTTCAGATCTTTTCAAAGAAAGCTGAAAATTTAGATTCTTACATGAAAGTTTTAATTTTTCAATGGCATCCAACTCAAATATTAAAATACAACAAAATAAAAACAGTGTGGGTTACACCCCGCTAGTCTGTGGGCCTGTGAATCCCGTACATTGGCCAAACTCTGTTTTGCACAGCAGCTGCTTAGTTTGGAAAATCAGACAAAGTCATGGTATGAAAAACATCCAATTTCATTCCAGAATGTTCTGACCTTCAGCTCTACATCTGGGACCACAAGAGCCAGCTTTATCGCATCCAGCATCTATTTAAATTGAAACACCCACACCTTATCCATATTGAATCTTTCTCCAGGAAACAAAGCACTTATCTCTGCAGGTTTCATTTGCTGAGGCCACATCATAATTAAGATCGATTGAACTATGAGGTGCAATTGGCAGTCTGTTATGAAAGATCAGAAGGAGAGAAGAAAGGAGCTCTCTAAGAAGGCCTTTGGCCTTCTTGAACTTATTTTAAAATTTTCACGATTTATCTGAGAGCAGAAAGGGGAAAGGATGTGGGTTTTTTGGGGGGGTGGGGTGGGGGGTGGGGAAGGGGTAGAGGTGCTGGAGATGGAACCCAGGTTCTTGGATGTAGTTAAGCAAACAGTGTATCATGAGCTACCCACCTTGGGGATATCCATTAAAACATTAGTCTTTGCTATAGCCTTGAGCAGTAAAAACAAGAGCTAATTGAACAGTTCCAACAAAAAGGAACAGAATTTAGTTTGCATGATAATATGAAATCTGGGGCAAAAAATAATGATGTTGGAAAGAAAATTGGACACCTCTTCCCTCAAAAATAAAGGCTGCAATAAAGTCAATCTGCCCCTTAGATGTGCTGCTCTGATACAGAGCTTTGCCACCCTGGATGCTGGCAAGGAGTGACGGGCCCATCTAATTCAGCTTTGTAGCTTGGATGGCACCAGCAGTGCATCTAATAACTGTTTTCTGAATCAACATGCGACGTCAGAGAATCAGTGTGCGCCTGACAAAATTCCATCCATGTTGGCAGGCTGCAAAGAACACTAAATATCTACTTTCCTCACTGTAGACACAGCCAAAATGAATGCCATTTTAATTTATAACCACCCTTTCTGCCTCTGGGGACCCCAATTTCACTGAGACTCTAGTTAATAGTCAAGCCATTTGTGCAGTTCTCTGCCCACTCCTGACAACCACCGCTGAATTACGATTTCCCCGCAGTTCCGCAGGGCAGCAGTGTGGCTCAGTGCCATTGTTTAGGCAGAGCGCTGCGAGGTGGGGAGAAGGACAGGCGGAGCTCACCTTATGAAGCGTGCTGTTCACAGCCCTCAGCAGGTTCTGGGAGTGGTTAAGGCACTGGAACGTCTCTGCGACTGCTGTGGACCTGGGGAGGCTCCTGGCCAAACTGAGGCGCACCAGAAGAGCAAGGCTGGCCAATAGGAGGAAGTCTGGAAGGGAATCAGGTGGGCTGGGTGCTTGGCAGTGGGCGTAGGCACTGCTACCCGCAGCCAGTGTTGTCCTGTTCGTCCCTCCATCCCCTGCGCTGGCCTCCCTCCATCCAGCTCCTACACCTTCCTTCCCACTGGAGAAATGGATGGGGGGGGCGGGGGGGGGCGGGGCAGGGAAGTGGCTCCGAAATAAGCACTTCCCTGGCAAGCACAAGGACCTGAGTTCAATCCCCAGTTCCACCAACAAAAAAAAGAAAGAAAGAAAGAAAGGGATCAAGGTTTTACAGAGCAGCACTGTGTCCCCGAGCTAGAAATCAGCTCCCTGGGAGCACCCAGAATGAGCTGGGACGAGGGTGCTAGACTCAGCATGTCCTCAGAGAAAGCTGGCACTGTTGGCTGGGGAAACCGAGGCCAGGCAGTTAAGGGACTGGCTCAGCCTCAGCCCACTGTGTTTTGAAAGCAGCAAGTGACAAAGTTTCTGTTTCAGAGCTGGCTCTGATCTGCCTTTTCTGGCTGTCGCCCCTAGGCTGGGCTTCAGTTTCTTGTGGGTGCAGTGGGCATAATGACAGTTTACAGCTGTTGCAAAGTGAAAAGGAACAGTGCCCCACTGAGCGCAAGGCGAGGGCCCAGCCGTCCTCTCCTCTTGTCCAGAGGCTCCCATTGCCTGCCAGGTTCCCCTAGGCCAGCCCGGGCTTCCTGTCCCTCTTCCCCAGGCCGCCAGTCCCTCCCTCCCAGCGGGTACTCACTGCGCGCAGGGCCCATGCTGAGCGATACTACACACCGAGGCAGCGGGTGAGCACCAGGTTCAGGCGGCTGTTGGAAGCAGCCGATGCTGATGCAGGCTATGACCCCCTGATGCAGGGGGCCACATTTTTATAATTGCCTCGAGAGGCGCGGCAGGACTTTCCCGGGACGAGGGCTTTGCTTTCTCTCTCTGTCTCTCACCACATCGGCTTCTCCGGGACACGTGCGGCGTCTGGCACGGCCCGGGGCTGGCGGCGCTTTCGGATTAACTGGGCTGCAGCTTTTCTGGGGCCGTCCCGCCGACTCCCACAAGCAGGAGGGAAAGCGAAATCAGCGCTGAGTTGCCCCCACCACATCCTCGGGCTTCCTGGCTGGGCCAGAAGCCCCTGTCGCAGCTGCCACCGAGCGCAGCGACCCCGAGAGGCATAGGGGAAGCGACACTTGCTCGCTATCTCCTGCATCCAGGCTGCGCACCCAGATGCTGACCACTGTCTTACTCGGGGGTGGGGTGGGGGGTGGGGGAGGGTGGGCGTGGGGTGCCACTCATTCCCCACCCTTCCTCTCAGCTGGCCCAGTCTGTGCCAGGCAGATTCTGTGCCAGGCTTCAACATGAAGCTTACATCCTCAGGGAATCTAGTTTCTGATAGGGTGAGAGAGAACAGTTAGGATTTTGCGGGCAGGGGCTCTGTTCTGGGAGGAAAGGCTCAGGCTGACCCTGCAGCTGAGCAGGACCAATGGGGTCCTCCTGGCAGCAAAAGCTCCTGGGAGCAGCGGCACCAGCCCTGAGTGTGGAAGGACAAGTGGGGTGGGCTGCAGGTTCTACCCTGGCCAGGAATCAGGGCACAGTCAGGCAGAGTAGACTGAGGGAGGGCCTGCGGCATGAGGGCGGGCAAAGCTGGAGTAGCATGCCATCCTCAGCAATGTGCTTTTCAGGGTGTCGGGAGCTTTTGAGGGCTGTAGGGCAGGGAGATGTGTTTGGATTTGTGTATTTATTTATTTAGTCAGTACCGGGGATTGAACTCAGGACCCTACACTTGCCAGGCAAGCACTTATTCTACTGAGCTATCTCCTTGGCCTGGATTTGTGTGACAGAAAGATCTTTTCCATCAGAGTGTAGAGGGTGAATCCCAGAGCCAGGGCAAGAATGGAGGGAACAGTTGGCAGGGGATTGCCACAGGTCCCTCAGGATGGAGGACAGACAGTAGACACTGTGGATGCTCAGGGTGGTGGTGGACCTAAATTTTGAAGTTTCTCAGGTGAGAGGGAGGGAAAGGAAGACAGTGAGAATGGTTGAATGGAAGCTGTTTCAGTTTCTGCAGAAGTTACTGTAAGCGGGGAGTGAGCTTGGAGCAGTAGGAAAAGGTGGTATTTTGGAGGAGCTAGATGTGAGTTCTCATGGGACTTTTCTTTTCACTCATTTCTCCTCCAAGCATTAGTCACTGTGTACGCAGGGGAGAGGGGTTCTTTGGCCACCAGCTTGGAGCCTCCAGTGGGTCTGGCTGCGCTCAGGGTAGAGGAACTTACATCTGGAGCTGCCACCTTTGTAGACTCACCAATCCCAGTGAGGAGAGGCCTTTGGGTTCTTCTTCCTTCTTGTCTCTGGGTCCCCATCAAAGTCTAGATCAGGAGTTCAGTTTAAGCATTGAGATGCTGTCATGAATGTTCATCAGGGGTGACCTCTGCTGAAGATGGGGTTGAGAGGCCAGTGAGGAGACATTCATGGTGGCACTGGTCTGGCCCAGCTCCTGACTTAGCTGCTGGTATCCATCTTCTGGGGCAACTCATCTGCTCCAAGGTGATGGGGCAGCACTTAAGGGACTTCCAGGTGTGCATGAAGTAAGAGCAGTTGTGATAAACTCAACTTCATTCTGACTTTAAATACTTTTTTTTAAAAAAAATATGTGCAATCCTGTGAAGTTACTGTTGTGGTCAGAATTTATAAGGGAAAAGACTTAATACAGGACATTAATTTATAGGACTCTTTTATAATATTCACCTGAATATTATAGTCCCTAAGGCCCTTCCCATCTTCGAATTCCCTGTGGGGAATTCGACCAATTGGCTGTCAGGAACAACTATGGTTAACAGCTTGTGCGAAACAAATGACGTGCAGAGCTGAGTTGTGCCACAGGGTTTAGGATGGATTTAAAAGTACTTAAACCAGGCATGGTGGTGCATGCCTATAATCCCAGCAGTAGTGAGGCTGAGGCAGGAGGAATATTGTATGTTTGAGACCAGCCTGGGCTACAAAGCAAGCTCAAGGTCAGCCTGAGCTGCATAGTGAGAGCCTGTCTCAAAAAAAAAAAAAAAGTATTTAAAGTCAGAATGAAGTTGAGTTTATCACAACTGAGCTATTTCTCCCCTAGAAGGACTATCTTTAATCACCAAGTATTAAAAATAGAAAAGTAATTTCTACTACAGAGCTGAACACAGGACCTCTGTTCAGATAAATTTTTGCCACCAGATATAGTTTCTAACCCACTCTACTGTGAAACATTTTTCTGACATGTTGTATGTACTCTAGCCAAGAGGAAACAAATACTTTCTTCTATAATCATATCACTTTCCTATAAAAGACAGTCTTGGCCTGTGATTATGACCACACAGTGTCTAGTGCTATGTTAGAGATTTTGGCCAATTTGTATAAGGAAAGAAAAGGAATAAGAGATTTAGATGTTGGAAAGGAAAAGCTAAAACTGTCAGTTTTATAAAGCTAATACATGGAACCAAAAAATAAAAACACAAACAAAATATATACCAGAATAAATACACAAAGAATTATAAATAAGATAATTCAGGAACTGTGGTGGATTAATAGTCAACTTGTAACACCCAGCTGAACTGAATCAGGATGGGGCTCGGTGTGGAGGGCCACCTGTGGATTGTTGCCAACAGCATAAAAAAGAGAACTGGAGGGTAAGATGGTGTGCTGTTGATCTGTTGGAGAAGTATGTCATGCTATCCTAATGGCCTTCCTGTTATGAACTTGGTTGGTCTCACTTTGGAAGAGCTTGGGTCCTCATTTTGCTGAGGATGCTGTGGTTCTCTTTGGGGAAGCTCTGATTCCTACTTGGAGT